CCCGGTCCCCGGGCGGCCCCGCCCGTGCTCACCGGCGCGGCCGATCAGCTGATCCACGCGCGGGGGCTGTGCCGACGGGTGCCGCGCGGGAACAAGAGAGGCCGAGGCGCGCAAGGGCTCAGCGTAAGGAGGTTTGGGCGGTAAAAGGAGAGACGCCACAAACTGAAACTTCCTGAAATTTTGCCCTTGCGCTTGGCCCTTAGTCCCTTCCCCAAGCAGGCTGCTATCCAGAGGAACAGATCGTGGCTGAGAGAATAACTTGCATTCAGACTGATGCCGACCGAACTGCCCTCGGCTGCTGTGGCAGCTCTGTCCTCCTCGGTGTGTTCCCAGCATCGGCACAAACATTTATGCAAACAGGAGCGTGCGGAGAGTTGCTCCCAATACGCCCATCTAGGAAACCATAACTGAGTGCCAGGAACGGCAGGAGGGAGGCAGAAACTACACAAACTGCACAAAAGTCAAGGCAGTCAAGGAGAGAGCGCCCATAAAATGCCGATTTGTCTGCGATGCGGTTGGCACCCAGCTCCTTAGCCAGGTCTAGGCAGAGCAGCCTTCCTGCACACAGCCCCCGGAGCCAGCGCACACGCTGGTCCGTTCCGGGAACAGGAACGATCTGGAGAAGTTTGGAGAGGGGAGGGTTTCATCTGATGTTTACCCCCAGCCATGAATTAGCATTTGACTGCCACATGATGTGCTAGTAGCTCCTGCCTCTACCCTGCAATCTCAAATAGATACTGTTTCCCTCAAGGAGCAGAGACATGCCGCTCCGTTTGGAGCTGTCACGTCCTATGTATACCTGGAGAAGTTGCGTGAAGGCTCCCATGCAACCGTTCACAAGGGGATCAGCAGATGAGCAAGGACCAGCAGTGCTGGTACCGCATGGTAACTCACACTGGTACTTGCTTACTGCTGGTAACTCAAAGCGAGATAAAAACACCTCAGAAGTCTGCATTTGCCTTTAACTGGGGTATTTGCAAAGCCCCATTAGCATTCCCTGGGGAACTCCTCCATTGCAGCTGCGGAGGCCCTGCCAAGACACCTTGCTGCACTGCAGTGCAACAGGAGGCTGCACCCGAGATGGTGCCAGGACGTTTTTAGTGCTAGATAGGCAAGCATGAGATGGAGGCAGGAGGAACCTGCTTGCTGCTGCCTTCCCTCATGTGATCCTCAGTGAGAGCAGCCTGCAGGGTGTTCTGCCCCTCCACATCCCAGCTACATGGGGTGCAGGCTGTAGAGCAGGGGCGTATGTGGCAGAGCCAACCGAATGAGTCTCCTGACAAATGCATGTGACTTGAGAGGTCAGCCTCATAGCACACTGCCATTCTGCTGGCCAGCAAAGGTTTTACAAGCACAAGATTTCCCCTGAGAATGAGATTATCACCACTTCCCTCCTAGCTGGAGCACTGAGAAACAGGGAGACGAGACTTTGGCCCAGGTGCGTGGAGAGTCAGTGGCAGAACTTGGGCTACAGCCGCAGTCTCTGTGCTGCTGGTTGCATGTCCTGAGCAACAAAACATGCTGCCTGTGGGATACACCGTACATGTAATAAAGTTTCTGATCAGGCTTGTACAAGAGGGGCCACCTCTGTGTTTTTGTATCATGTTTAAGACTCTGTTTAACAGACGTGATTCTGCTTGAATCCTTATGCCTAGCTAATGCCCTGCCCTTTATGGCTGTGTAAGAGAGAAGCTGCCCCTCTGCGTCCACATATCAGATGCTGGTTATATAAGGAAAATCACACCTGTGCTGATATATATAAAATTCACTTTCTGCAGCAGTTCCTGGATGACCTGCACTGACTGCGGTGCGGTCAAAACTCACCCGGAGCGATACCCTGCCCTGGGCAGGCCTGGCTAACCCCAGTCCTGCCCCTCCACTCACCGCCCTCGCCTGCGCCACACTCACCTTGCCATTAGTGACTTGCATGGATGTAACGGGTGTCCCATATCCTCACTGCAGGGGATTTCTCGAGGGGTCCAGTGCTCAAAGGCAGGTGATCCTGCTATGGCAGAAGTCCCCGGAGAAGTGACAGAGACTCAGTCTCCTCCACGCTTTTCCCTGACCCCCTGCATAAGAGAGGAAGAGAAACTGGGCCATTAGACACAATGGAGCCCTGGGAAAAGCATCCACAGCATTTCCTTGAGAAAAAAAAATGATT